GCAGGGGAGGGGACAGAGAGTGGGGGATGGGCAAAGACAAGGAAGAAAAATTGAGTTCAACTGTCATTTTTCAAAACTCCATCAGAGAGCAAAAAGCCCTGGGCTTCAGGCTCCGCCTGGATTTTAAGACATCATCTGTCTGTTCACTGGGAAATATCAGACAGAAATGTTAGACTGGATCAGCATTATTTCATAAGTTTCCATATATGTAAATGAAGAATTCACAGCAGCATCGACTGATTTTACATGTGCATAATGTTTTGTACATTGTTCCATATCCCTCTCCCTGTCAAATTGATATTGACGTATCAATTTAATAAACAATTTTAACGACCTGCTAAAAGTAGAGCAGCATTAAACCAAGTTTCAGCCTGAATAAAACTAGTCAGTTCACTAGGTTACAACACTGTCATTGCAACTGTAGAGCTGTGGATAATGGTGGATACAAATTTTCAAATGAAACAGAACATGGATTACACATATTAGGCATGATAGCATGCAACATCACATCAATAACAAATTTTATTTTCCACATGCAGCTGTGTGGTTAGAAGTGTGGCTGGGCAACACTGAAGAAGTGGTAAATTACACATCAAAACTGGCTTTTCATTGTTTATTGTAAACAGTACAAGTCCTTTCTTTTACTGCCCAATAAACAGAGCAAGACAAAACAAATGACACTGAGCAATAAAGCAACAATACGTAACTTGGCAGTTTGTCTCCCCCTACAGTCGCTGAGTATAATTGAGTTGTACCCAACTGTCGTACATACGAGTTGCACTTTCGCCCCTCCTCATGGACAATGGCACATGTGTATTTGCTTACAAGTGGAAGTTGTTACTGAACAATGAAAGAAAACAAAAGAATGGTGAAGCAATATTAGCAGATTTATTCTTTATTTGTTGAGACACTGAAGATGAATAGATGAACAGAAGATGAACAAAAACAATTACAAATAATGGGAGGTTTTTTGTCTTTTTTTGCTAAGTGCTTGAATGTGGATGTGTGTAATGGAATGAAACGCTGGCTAAACAACATAGGCTCCATAGGCTCATATTGCACATAATATACACTGGGAAGTGTAATTTATTACAAGCTGGCTGAGGTGGGTTTGTTAGGCTGCAAACTGGCTTATTTGGTGTGACAGAGACAAAGACTGACCAAACCTTCTGAGGGATTGAAGTAGATGAGTTTTTACATCTGGAAAAAACTACAAACCTCTGTGAGACGGGCTGGCATCGACAGCCTGTGTTGAAGTATTTCATAAATAAGATTAACAGAGCTGTTCACTGTGCTGTGGTGGTGGTGTTTTCATGTTGGCAGACTTCTACAGCTAACATCAGGACTGTAGAACAGTTAGTCACCCTGACAGGGGTATTTTTATCTGTTATCAGTCAGTAAAAGCCAGTCTAATATTTACTCTTGTCTGGTCTCTTGCTCTCTTTTTCTCTTCTTGGCTGTGGCTGGACCCTGGCAGTGCTGTAGTTCTGGGGTGTGTTGCGTTGAGCATGTTTTTACATGCTTTGGCTGGACATATCATAGCTAGTCTATAGAACAGATGTAGTCTGACTATAGTACGTACTGCTGTGTGTGCTTTAGTCCATGCCCTGTTACACAGCTTGTTCAGTTTCAGTAGGCGACTGTAGTAGGTTAGTAAGTCTGAACTTTAAATCCAAACTCCTGAGGATGGGAGGAAACCGTACTCTCAATGTGCAACTGGAACACCAGCGTCTTTGCTGACAGCTCTGCTCTGAACAAGATGTAGCTGTGTGCTAAGGAAATTTAGCTTGGTTTATTAGCAGGTCCTGGCAGCTCCGAAAACATTAGAGCAAATTTCCAAATTGGCCTTACTTGCTATATGCAATGCTAATTTGCTCTTTGCTGTCTATCCAAATTGGCATTGGATAGACCGAGCACATAGTCGCAATCTAAGTGGTTACCTTCTCACCTGAAAAAAAATCAAAATTCATAAAAGCCCAGGAATTTGTCTCTGCATGTAAGAATACTGATTTAGTGGAAGGGTCTGGTGCCATAAAGCAAAATTCAGCTATCAGGTGAGGTCTCCTGGAAGGTGATCCAAAGTTAGATCCAAACTTAACAGTGCAGTACCAGATATTGCAGTGGCAATAGCAAAGATACTGTTAGAAGTCAGTCTACCATCTAAATGATTTTGAAGCTGTTATTTTAATATAAAAACATTATGTATTGTTGCTTTAAATCAACAAAACATGGGTTACATAATTTTTGGTATAATGGTGCACACAAACACACACTCATAATAATACATAATGCCCAAAAGAATTACCACAGGAGCTCGGGCTGAAGATGTACTTGGGTTAATACCATCTGTTGGATGTGATAAAATTCCTTATTCATTGAGATGATCAAAACTGAAAAAATTAGTAGTATGAACTTGTTTTTTCCAAAAAATAAAAAGATGTTTACTTAGTGTCTGATAATTAGAAGGACAATATTTTTATTCTATTTTCAGACCTAAATCCATGATGGAACGTGATCATGCTGAGCTGTGATCAATATTAAACCCACAGCCCAGTCGCTTTTGGCCAATCATTTTGATGAGGTCAGAGTTCATCTGAAATGCCCAGGGACAGAGGTCAGTGCAGCAGTGGTGTATATAGAGTTTTACTCAAAAAGACTGAACTGGAAACAACCGTGCTTACATTTTTATCACAACAAATACAAAACGTATTAATGAAATTGGCATAAATGAGAACTAAACATAAGGTAGTGGACAGGTAAAGTGATATTATTTGTTGTTGTTACCACATGAATGATAAAACTAATCATCAACTGGTGAGGATGGATCAGAAATGATTAAGCTGAGTGCTTTAACATGATATTTACATAAGTCAGTTTAGAGTGCCAATTTAAGAGAAAAATTTAGGTCGATTTACAATTTTATAAAAGAAACCTGAGATGCGATCCCACTGAAACAGAGTTTAGAAAGATATTGTTGTCAATGTTTCTGAACAATTTAATGGGTATGAAAACTGAATTTGGAATGGGACTGCCAGCGATCCACGGTGACTGTCTCGTACACAGAGGGTATTCTGCTGTGGCCAGATACAGCTGAACTGACTGCACAGTGACCGGAGGGGACACAGTGAAAAGTCAAATGACGGTCAGTCAAATGGCAAAATCATAACATCAGCACAGTGATGAGAAAAAAAACACAGCTGAGAAATAGACTGATGGAGAAAAAGAAATCAGACATGAAAACGGCAGTGGGTCTATACAGACTTCAGTCTGTGATCTGTATCCACTTACTGTAATTTCAGACTCCTATCAAAAAGACAGGCATGCCATGCTGAGGCATATTTCATATCCAATGAACAGTCAGCCAGCCAGACCTTTAAGCAGCAAGCACATGAACACAGATGGCGTTTATGAGAACCCTAACAAAGGAGTTAGACAGGCCTGAGCAACAGTGACTACTACATCATGAGATCCCACAACAGCCACCATAGCAGCAGTTTAATATCAGAAACTGCATCCAAAATTGGTGAGGAAAAGTAACAGAAGTGAGGTTAGGGCAGCCAGGACTGATATGTTCCTCACTACAAAGGAAAACTCTGAAATCAGCCTCTATTATGGGACTCTGTGATGTGGCCAGTTCAGTAGCATGATACCAGATCAAACAGTGTTCAGTACCTCCCCTGTTAGTCTGTGAGTCAAGAGAAGTGAAAGACAGAGGGGAGAGAGGCAGTAAGAAAGAAGCAGAGTCCGGACTAGTGGTCTTACCCTGGGGCTGACAGGAGGAGCCTGTGGCTGTCCCCGGCTCCCCCTGATCCAACAGGCCCAGGCCCACGGGGAGGCAGAAGTGCTCAAAAGAGGCAGCAGTGGTGGCAGCAGCTGGAGCAGCAAGGGGTGCTATGGAGGGAGAGGGCACACCAGGACCCTGGGATGAGAAGGGGGGAGACAAGGTGGAGGAGGAAGATGGAAGGGGAGCTACAGGGAGGGGAAGAGGAGGTGGGGTGGGTGGGGGAGGCGGAGTTGGGCAGGCAATGCCAATAGGGGTATGGTTGTGCGGGATGGTCACAGGAGATGGTGCGGGGAACATGGGCGGGCCGTTGGGGGATGGTGATGGAGGCCTCTGGGTCAGAGGAGAAGGTGCGGCGATGGGAATGAGTGGCCGTGGACCTGTGGCCTTCCCTGGGGGACTGCTTATCATGACAGGGGGCGATGGTGGTAGGGGGGTAAAGTTGCACGCTGACCACACCACAGACTTTGGTGGAGGCCGAGGGGCAGGGGCTGGAGCAGAAGCAGTGGGCAGGGCTTGGGGAGCACCTTGTTGTCGCCTTGGGACCGTGGCGTAGTGAGGCAGGACCGGATGGAAGGCAGAACCGAGTGACGTGGCGAATTGGGAGGTCGAGTGCCTGAGTGGTGGGGTTGGGGGTGTGGCAGATGAGGGTGATGGTGTCCCAGGAGCTGGGTAGCTGGGCGTGGATGGCGATATGGGTGTTGAGGATGTTCTGCCGTACTCCTGAGGTATGGGAGTGTACAGGGTGCTTTCAAAAGCTAAATGCATGTCACACCAACAGACAGACGAAAGTCAAGGACAAGACAGAACAGAAGGGAAGGGACAACAGAAGGAAGGAAAGGAAGCAGCCATCGTGCACACAGTAGGAAAAGACAATAGGTCGGGAAAGAGAGAAGGAAGAAGGGAGAGAGGAAAAAGAGAAGGGGGCAAATGAAGCAGGAAAAACCAGCACAGAGCTATATTTTGATTTGATTACAGGTTGTGTGTACTCTCTTGGGCTGAGGTGATGCTGCTATGTTAATGGACAAGTGTTAGCACTGTAGACAGAGCCAGAGACATGAAGCTTTCACAGTCTTGCTCAGAAGAGAAGTGACTGAGGAGCAAACTTCAGTTTACTGTATAACACAAACCTACATAGTATCCATCTCATCAGTGTCATCTAGTCTGTTTTATCAATAGGACTAACCACCAAGTAATACTCACAGTTCAACCACAAATACTAAGACCCAAACATATGCCAGTTAACAGTATGCTTATCAAAAACTAATCAATCATCTTAACTGGTTAAACTAGGCAGTCTAACTCAATAATAGGATCAAAATCAGTCCTAACAATAAAAAAAACAAACACAGCCAGTGTGTCTGCTGCATGTGATGTGTCGCTGGTTAACCAGAGTATTAACAACCCATGATGTTGTTTGTGCTATGCTACCTGTTGGAATTAATTTTACTACTTTGGGACTGTATATGGTCATTTGGGGGAAGAAGCAGAGATCACTGGTTGGATTTACTGACCTTGGAGCTACTTGAAAGGGAGTGATGTTTCCACTATTCAGTGGGACTTAACGATAAATAAAAAAATAAAAAAAACACATTGCATGTCTGTTAATGCCTTCTGTGCATTGTAACATTGTAACATTAGAGAGAATTGTTCTAAGGCTGGAGAAGTTACTATGTCTGCATTATGCCAGTGAAAATACGGGGTTTCTCAATTAATTTAGAGTGTTACACATCTCTTTTTATTGACACATATACCGTTGTTTATCTATCTACAGTCAGGGAAAAAATTATTTGAACCCCAGCTGATTTTGTAAGTTTGCCCACTAACAAAGAAATGATCAGTCTACAATTTCAATGGTAGGTTTATTTGAACAGTGAGAGACACAACAATAACAAAAAAATCCAGAAAAATGCATTACAAAAAAAGTTATACATTAATTTGCATTTTCATGAATGAAATAAGTATTTGATCCCTTTGCAAAACGTGCTTGGTGGCAAAACCATTGTTGGCAATCACAGAGGTCAGACGTTTCTTGTAGTTGGCCACATCTCAGGGGGGATTTTGACCCACTCCTCTTTGCAGATCCTCTCCAAGTCATTAATGTTTCGTGGATGATGTTTGGCAACTCGAACCTTCAGCTCCCTCCACAGATTTCTATGGGGATTAAGGTCTGGAGACTGACTAGGCCACTCCATGACCTT